TTCTATTGTTAAAATGTATAAACGGTACATTTTATGCCTCATATTGTGAATGTTGTACTTTTATGTTAAACTAATCCATGTAAATTAAAAAATTGTAAAAATTTACAGTAAAATTCTAAAAATTAGAAGCATATCAATACCACAAAAAATATATAAATAAATAATAGTATTACTATTTTTAATTTAAGACATAACACTATTTATTTGTATATGTATATATATATATATATATATATATATGTGTGTGTGTGTGTGTGTGTACTATAGCTTCTAATAACTAAAAAAATATAATCATGATAAGAGATTTATGTGTCTGAGTGTGTATAAATATATACATATATAATTGCTTCATGCTTATTTGCATCTTCAACTGTCCACAATCACTAATTTTTATGTTCTAAGATCAATTGTCTTATTTTTATATTATATATATATATATATATATATATATATATACAATAAATGTTAAAAAGTCACTAAACGTATTCTTTGTCAAAATACATTTACAATGTATCCATTGTTGATAAAATTATGTTGAAGCTGTGAAAGACTTCTATTATTGTTTTGATATTTTCATTAGATTGTAACAAATGTTGGTAAATTATATATATATATATATATATATATATATATTCTATTTCAATGCAAAGTGTAACATACAAGATATTTGAAATTCTATCATTATAATCATTTTGTAATATTATTTCTCTTTTAGTCTTACAATAACACAATCTCGGTAGGTTTATAAAAACAGTTTTAAGATGAAATATTTTGCATTAAACACTTTATACAATAAAATTAAATAGTGGTAAATAAGATTATCCATCTACCTCCTTTCTACCAAAACCATCAAATCTACATCTTTGTTTAGAAATAAATACAGTTATATCCTTCATGTTATAAAAGAAGATTATTGTGCAAAGTACCTATGACATAGATCATATTCCAAATTGTATATATAGAAGAGATAATCTCTTTTGCTTTTAAAAAGTAACATCTTTTAAAAAATTGTAATGTAAAAACCATCAATTTTTTTTTAACATCCTTTAATAAACATTATCTATTATCACTACAACATATATTAGGTAATTTATCAGGAAGCATTGATATAGAGTAACGAGTTAAAAAAAATTCTAAAAAAAAATAAACATATTCTAATTCTTTGCAAATGGATTGGACCTCCTTCAAAGCTTTTCATTTATTTATTTATTATTACATCCTAAAGATTTTACAACATCCAAGGCTTAAAAGCAAGGAACACATACCTCTCAATAACTCTTTCGAAAAAGTAACTTCAAAAAAGCAAAAAGAAAACAAAGAAAAGATCACAAACATGTTCCAAAGAACCAACTCCTCCATCTTTTTTAAAAAATAAATGATATTTTCCAAGTATCACACAAATGTCACGCTCACTTGTAGCTTACATCCTTTAAAAAAAATAACCCCATGAAAAAGGCACTTTCTCAAGGCTCGACGAATTGAATGGCACACTGGATTCCCAATTTGTGAAAAAAGCAAAAGTAAGTCCATGTCGTCATCGTCCCCGCGTGCAGAAAGGTGGGTGGGAGCTACGTTGCAGCGCTTTCGGAGGCTTTGCTTGCGGCGTAGCCTCGGAGGTAGGGTCTCCCCGCATCTCGCACCGTTGTTGCGTGGGGGGGGGGGGGGGGGGGGGGGTCCTTTTTCTCGAAAAAGGGATCTCTCCCGCACCCCGATTCCCCTGCCGCACTGGCCTCGCGGTCGCCTATCCTCCCTGACCCCGACTTTCCAGTTGTTACTTATCTCGAAGCGTTTAGTTGTATTTAGGTTGGTCCGGTTTGCTGCATGCGGTATCGGATGGCAACCGCTGATAATGTAGCTGGTGTTGTTGCCTTTGTTGCCTGGTCGAAGTGCATTGTTGAATTGGTGTTGAGGTAGGTGGACAGTATCTACCAGTTGGGGTAATTATGTTTTATATTTTTTTCGAAGGACGGGACGAGTGTTCAGAGTTATGCACACGGGGAGATGAGATTCAGCATTGGGCTAAACGCGAATGGGACGATGGTCGACATTTGTGGAAAGGCCCGATGTATCTGGCACAGAGTGTATGAGCTGAAGTACTGTTTCGTTTCCTGTTTGTGAAATTTGGAGCAGTGCGGGAAAACGACAAAGTGATAGTTGCACCTTGAGTGGCGGAAAAGTGGCGATTAACACGGAAAACTCTGGACAGAATGTATTGGATATGGAAGATGATGAATTCTTCTGGGAAACTGTGCAGATGCTCGGCTGCTTCAACAAGCACTGTCCTCTGTACAGGTGGGAGAAAATGGAGCTTTATTACATCTTACAACGAAAAGTTTCGATTCCAAAAGCACCAAGTCATGAAGAAAGTCACATCTGAAATTGTCTACAAAGTTTCAGATAATTGCTTACTATACACTCGGGTAAAAGCAATTACATGACTCCATACTCATCCATTGACGGCAACTCAGAAACCCTGCTGAATGCCTTTACTGCATGAATCGATTCGCAGGTATAAGAACCGTCTATGTGCTAGGCACAGGCAACACCACAGCAACATTACGGGTTCCAACTCTCACTTGGGAGCTGGCAGTCTACCTATGCACACAATCAAGCTCGACACATGGTCATGCCGGAAAAAAAAACTCCGTGCGCTGGCTTGCTCGAGCGCAACCTACAAGTTGAATCGGCTCACGACCACCTAAATTTTTCAGATAAAAATAAAAATAAAAATAAAACTCATCTGCCGGCAACGCGCACGCTGATCTTTTGAACACTCCAGCATGCGCAGAATATCCATTCATGTTGCTGCAGAGTCATACCACCATCACTAGACTATCTCACGGCGAAGCAGCAGAGCAAACAGAACAGACTTTTCCTCTTGGATTTCGCCAGTCCCGAGTGGTAACTATACAAGTCTCCTTCCCTGGCGGATGTGCTGGGTTGTGGAACAGGAACAAGAATAGGTACACCCCCTTTCTTCTCATCCGAAACGATCTGGAACAAGAGCGTGAAACAAGGGTCATAGGCATCGTCCTGATTATCCCACTCGCCGAACTTCGGTAGGTGACCTCTCCTGCCACCAACTTCCCCCTCTGCAGTCGAAGCGTGTCCCCGGTGTCTGGAAATGTAGCCGCTGTTCGGCACGGGCCATGGCGATGTATTCGTTATCGATAATGCACTCTTCGTTGACGGGTTACTGGACATCTCCATCTCAGACAACTTCGGCCAGTCCTTGAATTCCTCGTTACTCTCTCCCAATCCATGTCGCTTGGTTTCCTGGTAAGATTGCACCTTCGATGAGACATGCTTTGAAAACGTGCACTCCTTGCCGCTGGGAGACCTTGGAGACTGATCGGACTGGAGGACGTCACAGCTCTTTGACCCTTCCCCGGGTTTCTGCACAGAGCTTTTCTCTGCATCTCTGGCCCTGGCCATCAAAATGTTCCTTAACTTATCCATTCATACAAAGTACGAATCAAGAAAATGTAACCGGACTGTAGGTTGGCCTCTCAACTGAGGAATTTATCAACAGTCTGCCACTGCGATGGCGTGCGAAGTTCCCCAAACTCCATCGTTGCCGACAGCAAGGCTTCTTGAAGACTGCCGACAGAACATCCTGCGAACACTACCAGACCATGCGTCCAAACTCTTGACAAGGAGTCTTCAGATTTGTGCCCATTCTCTGCAATTCACAGAACTAATCACTCATCTTCTGTCAATTCCCAAATCACCACGGGTGGCTTAAGTTCAGAATAGCCCCCACGCTGCAGTCAACTCAGGCGCTTCCTAAGGCATGTGCTCATCTGCATTCAGTGAAAGCTCAAGTAGCAGTAGTGTTGTATGACAATGTCTGCTCTTCACCGCAACGCTCGGGCTGTTATGCCGTCGTGCGTCCTCATGGTCTGCGCGGTTTTCGCGATTGATTCAGCTTGAGGGAGGGCCTAACCCTTTCAATCAGTTCCCCTTACAAGAGATAAGCCTCGTAAACCAGACTTATCTACACCTCCAAATCTCTTTGAGGCTGGGATTACTGACAGTCAAAACGAAAAGAACCAAAAAGAGGGACATCCAGCTCCCAGGAGAGCACAAGATTTGCTCAATCGCAAATGAGTTAATGTGAGAAGTCGACATTCCGTTTTCCAAGTCTATTTACTGATCCTTACTTAACAAGTTAGCAAAGTTTGCCTCCACCTACTTCCAGTGAAAAAACCCAAACCTAGTCCCCCGGATTTTATCAGGGTGAAGGACCGAAAGATAACATCAAAACAGCTGGAAAGACTGGGGTACCGGAATGATAGAGTCGCGTTGAGCAGGACATGGTGTCCCTTAAAGGTGAGCTCACAGATATCTCGGACTAGATCACTAAGATAGTCTTTTGACGTGTTCATTTCTCAAGGGATTTGAATGCAAATGAGCAGGGTTACCTTGCCTAATTCAGCAGTACTACTCTTTCGGCATTTTTTTGAGTCACTAGTAAAATTTCTCAGGCCTCAGACCCGGAACACGACAAATTCATAACTTCACAGTATCGTCTCCGCTGCGATGGGGTATTAGGTTCCTCTACTCCACTTGAAGGGACGGTCCTTGCTTAGTGATAGTAAGCAAATTTCATCTTAAAGTTGGTAGGATGAAACTTTTTCATTTTGATGTCGCCGGCAAAAATTCATCTCCGCCTGGCTGTGGATTTTATTGTTACACCACTGGGTAATTCAACATCATTTCGTCGTGTTTTGATTTTGGTTAGCTGATGAAGTAAGGCTACTGGTAATGCCTCCTTCATTCATTTCTTGATAGAAATTCCAGTGTTGCATTAATGTTAGTGAGTCTTTCCGAAAAACAAAGATGCCATGACATGGACGTGCCGAATATTCTTGTTTTATCGTGCGAAGCTGACTCCAGTTCACTAGGCTAGTGACTGTGGAAAACGCCCCGTGGTAGGGTGCCGAGCATCGACGGACACAAGGGCTCGTACATACTGAGTTTACCCTCGAAATGCTCAGAAAGGGGTCAGATACGACTTATCCACACGGTTATTCGGACAGGGATAACTGTTTTGGCGTAGTAGATCATCATACCCTAATCTGGCCGACGCATGTGTATTTCCGCGACTCCTCAATACACGTAAGCCTACAAAGACAGAGGAGCGTGAAATTGTCCACGATCATAAACAGCCTCATGATTGTCTCCAGGTTAATGTCAGAGATAGAACAATTGGTGTGCATAATCATTTCATGAACCGAGAAGTTTAAGAGACGTCGTTTAACAACACATTCGAACACACAATGCTCGGAAACCAAAACCGGAAAGGTTTCCTGACAGTCAAACCACTAGACATAAAAAAAAGACTAGATGAGAACTAAGTGAAACTGAAACTGTGTAGAATAACCAGGCCCGATCCCTCATGACCCACAAGCCATTCAGGTTGAGCAGACAGTATCTACCACTTTATCTACGTAACGCATAGTCGCATCCCAGCCACAATCAACAACTGAGACGCCGGCTTAATTGCGTACGATATCAAGTAATCCACGTAATGCAATAAAGCAACGACAAGGAGATAAATGAAAGAACCAGATGATATTGCTTTCACAAGCGAAAGCATGACGCCACATAATCTCACATGCAAGGACATACTCCACCGCGACATTAATCACGCAGAAGATGCCATGCAGTCGTCTACTATAACAAGGCCTAAACGCGATACAAGAGGGCTAACAGTGACCGCTTCAGAAGGGCATCCACAATCCTTACACCCCGTCAAGAAATCACCAACACAACGGCACCAATTTGCAGTGAATCTTACAATCCGTGCCTACGCACAGAAACCCTGAGGATAGGAAAGCCCTAAGATAACCCTAAGTAAACAGTATCTCACAAAGGAGAAATCCAACAGGAGAGTATAACTGTAGAGCACGCTGTAACGAAGTCTGTAGAATGCAAGCTGTGCAGAAATCCAGCGAGCAAAGAAAATATTGAGTAGCACCAAAAACAAGTGTGCAGCGCCGCGAGGATAAAGTAGGAGACAGGGAATTATGAATAGGGTTGGCGACCTACCTCGCCCCTTTATTCAGATTCCAAGACACGATTGAACTCAGGTCCCGATTTTAAAGACCGTCTCAGAGTGCCAGCCAGGTCTCACAAATGAAGTCTTAAAAGATCCTTTCACATTCTCATCTGTGGTGACATTAGCAATACCCAATAAACAAAGATATATATATATATATATATATATACATATATTTCAATTAAATGTTTTTTGAATGAACCAGATTATGAAAACTCATGATATTTATAATTTATAATTTAACCTTCTCTTCAAACTTTGAGTTTAACAAAACGTGCTCTGAATATTTTTAAGGTCATCTTCATTATTATGCATTTTGATATATCGTCAACTTTTAAGTATTGTAAGGTATAACAAAGTACGATAAGAGTCTTCTATTCCAATCCTAGAATTCTTCCAACTGAAATTATACATGTTCACAACTAATCTGCACGGAGATTGCAACGTTGTTTCAAAAAAAAAACATTTTAATCACGAGGATATGAAGCTTTTGCATCCACTGCACGAATCTCCCGATCAGTTTTTCGTTACACTGTTTTCATCTACCCTAATCCTATTCTTGGAAGGATTTTAGGGTTTTGAGACCGCCAAGCCGAAATTGGAGGTATGTGTATGTGTCTAGAAGTTGACTATTGGGGATTTAGTAGGCCAATGAGTTCAACACCTGTGTATGAGTTGGTAAATATAGTTATTACGTCAGTTATCTCATGTTGGCAAGTTGTAGAGTGAGTTGTATTCACATTTTCTTCGTTAGTCATGTAGTGCTTGAACGAATTCAATCGTTGGAACGTTGCTGTTTATGTTCAGAATTATGTCCCGGTTCACGATGCACTTATGAAACGTTTATGCTGTTTCGGTAGTTTAAAATGCAGTGACTTAGTCACATTTACGTTCTAATGTGCATATTGGTGCAGCTGGTGTTGCAATAGTAAAAGTAGCCTGCTGGTGCTCGTGATGAGGCACCTTAATGCTTGCGTAACTTGCGGAACGTTTTCCAGCAGCCTGGAGCATCCTTCTCAACTTTTTTTTAATCATGCCTTATTAGTGCGTTGATCGTATCAAAAGATTATGCACAAATGCATGATATCGAGAAACACAAGCTCAGGGCACAATCCTGCGCAGCGGGTACTCACGTTATGATGAGTTTACAGCATGCTCCCATCGGTGCAGTTTCTTTTTCGTTTCGTCACTTAAGCTTAGATCATCAGCATTCTCCTTCCACGTGTTAACCAGGGTCTTCGCTCCCATAAGCACCAACCGCTCTACTATGAACAGCTGATAATTATTATGAACGACAGTGTCCAAGATTGAAGAGAAATTCTTTGCCTTCATCACCCTGTATCTGTAAGTATATTCCTGAATCATTTGAAAGAATGCAGCAGGAAAAATCAATCACACAGAAGTTCAGCATGGATGAAGTTTGCCAGAGCTTACTTTGAGAATAACTTGTCAAAATAGTGAACTTGTCTCTCATCAGTGGCAATGTAAAGAGTGCGGCCTGCAGGTATCCAAGGCTTGATGCGCTTTAGTATGGCCTCTGGTTGAGTGTCATTGTCCAGGTGGGCGTACATGGTGCGAAGTGCTCCAGATTTTGCCTTATGAACCTTCACTTTGTCACCTCTGCGAACATGTAATGCATCGTAGTCTTTCAGCTCCTCTTTGATCTGTGGACGAAAGAATTCCAGGATAAGTCCTACCATCACAGCTGAGTCTCTTAATCACTCGCAGTAACAGGTCGTGGAAGTAATAACATTTCATCAAGAAGTATCTGGAGCTATTTACGGAGTTGCAGGAAGCATTTAAGTGATACGTAAAATAGTCAGCATGTAGTAGCATTTATATGAATCAAGCATGTGCGCCTATTCGAAGATATCTTACGAGCTCGGCAGCAGCGCGAAGTGGGGGTGCAACCATTGTCTGTAGGAAGGAATAAGAAAGCATAATGGCACTTTGATTATGTCGATTCTTGCACTCCATAAACCTGCCACAACTTACCAAGCAAAGTGAGTGAACTGTGGCTTGCTTCGCACCTTATGCTCGATAACCACCTTATGAGTTTTGCTCGAGTGTGCAGATCGCTAAGGAATACTAACACAATCATAATAGTAATTCATCAATTTGTGTCAGAGGACTGCTTGTATCTTCGCTTCCAATCCTCTCACCACGCCTGCTTGTTTGCAGTGCGATTTACAACGTGTGCTTGCCGAAACATTTCCTTATGCTTCAGTTCCTCCCGCTTTATGCCTTCAACTTGAACAAACACCGTGTCTTTTCGTAAAAATATATCATGCCATTCTTTGGAGTTTGATGCAATCACAGGCACTGTCTGCGACATTAACACCAGATCGTAGAGCGCAGCCATGGAGCACCTGTTCAACTCCAACCTGCTGCAAGACAGCCAGTTGGTGACATGTACATACTACAGGTCCTACATATCCGATTCCATGTTTCGGATTTGCAGCTTGAGAATGGACATCCCAACCGTTTTAGTCTCCAAGTGAAGAGCGCTATGTCACCGAAGCGTAGCAACACATGTCGACCAGCCATGAAATCCAATGACAATAGAGATTGCAAAATCTTGAACATTTCAAAGATTGGCAAGTCCATGCAAGACTGAGGTATACCATTGGTCCTCTCTAAGCTGGGGTAGCTTTGCATTGTTGTGTTCCTTGGCAATGCACATAGTTGATGGCAACACAAATGTCCTGCAATTTCAGGGAGTAGGAATATAAAAGATGGTTTGCTTCATAACAAACTGAGTGACCCAGCATATGCTTCATATAGATAGTTCAGTAATCACTGCAGCCAGACGGCGTTCTTGCATCCCCTGCTGAAAATAGTAATTGCACCGCTTGACATAGAAATATCGTGAAGAAGGTCATCACCTGTTGAGAAACAAAGCTTCCTCGAGAGCACATCTCAAGCTTGACTCCTGGTGACCAAGTCCACCACATTGAACACAATACTTCCCAGGACAATCGATTCCTGGGCCCCAATACAAGTATCGCCTCTCCCCCACGTCTCTCCTCTGCACTACACTATTAGCTATGCCGCTTCTCGAAACCCGGGGACCAGCTCCCAGAAACCGAAATTCCAAGCTTATGAAGCAAATTGCCACTAGGACAAGCAGCGTCAGACAGAGGACGAGATGGAGCTTGCTGGTGGGTGCTTCTGACAGTCCTAAAACCCACTCGAGCGCTTGAGACTGGCCAGTGTTCGACGTTATGCAATGTCTTTTCGTGATTCTGTGACAGGCCATGGCTTGTGCAAGCTTTCCCACCTTGACAAGAGCCAAGAAGTTGCGGTGTTCACAGAGGAATCGGAGCTACGAGTAGGAACCTTTATGAGCCACGGAACAGTTTCATACATCCCGAACAGTATCATCCACGATGGAGGTGATAATGTCGGCCAGAAGGATTTTGGGTTTTAGGTTCTGGGTTTACACTCTGCCCCTGAAATTCTGCTCAGTGATGAAGCGGGAGCACTGAGTGCCTCTTTGGTTTTTTTTTTTTGAACATGACTTGATTGAAGCGAGTTCCGTCAGTGTCTGCAAGGGCGGTGATGGAAATTTAGCTGGTCTGTATAGGTGGAGGTGGAGAAGCTAAGGGGCGAGAAAGAGCGAATGGAAGGTGAGTAAACTCTAGTCAGCGATGGTGGGAAAGAATTAGGAGAGAGGGAGGGAAAGAGGCAGGGAGAGAGCGTAGTTGTCTGATTAGGGTTATATGTTGCACTCTAAACCTGGCCATCCTTTTCTGCGATGGTTGTTGCAATTTTCTTTGTGGTTGTTATTCTCCGTTGAGCTTTTGGATTGAGTGTATTGGGGTTATTGTGTTGCAGCACATGCAAGAGAAGAAATCGAGGGCACCAATTGTTCAAAGCGACGAATTGTTAGGAGAGGCCGCTGACGCCGCATTCAGGATTGATCAGTTTGGTCGCTTTCCCTAAGTTGGAATCATGGCAGCGGAGGAAGTGCAGGAGCTGCAACGCAACAATGAATTGGAGGATATGGAAATGGTGGAGGAGGATGGAGGCGAAGGATTCATGATCACGGAGCAGCTGGATGAGGAAACACAGAATTTGGCAGCAGGATTGGCGTCTCGGCAGAGCGATGAGTTGATGCACGCATTGCATGAATTTTTGAAAGTTTTAGCAGTCCCCAAGCGAGGAGGGAAAGTGTTGCGACAGTATGTGTTAGCATCACCGAAATGTGTTGAGCTTTTGTCTGCTTGGGAGCTTGGTTCGGGCGCCCCTACAGCTGTTCCGCTTATGCTGCTCCTTTCGGAGATTTTTCGACACCCGCAGGGTAAAGGGAGGACTAACAGAGTTGATGATAGGAAGGTCCGTGGTAATAGTGTAGAGGCACTACAAAAAGCAAAGGCGTTGGCAGTCGTGCAGTCGCGATTGGACAAGCTTGCCCGAACTTTTGGACGGTCAAAGATTAAGGATATGTACTCGCATTTGTCTTCAAAGCAGAGAAGTAGGCAGAAAGCTGTGCTGAGATTGTTGTCCAGCATTGTTTTACGAGGGAAGCTCTTGGCGGTCGATGTTGCAACAAATTTTGATTTCACTTTGGAAGCTTTGAAAAAACTTGCTCAGCATCCCTTTAAAGCCTCGGCGAATACCAAAACCCAGGGATTGTTGCATCAATCGACCAGGTGATTATAATGTCGTCTCTTTCACCATTATTTGGCAATGTTGTTCTTGGATTTTTGGACTCGCTGCTTTAATTGTATGGTATAGTTTGATCAATTGTGACTTCTTTCGAAGTGAATCATACGCTGCCAACCTTTTCATATTGTATTAGATTTAGAAACATTTTTGCAATGTGACAGCTCTTGTTTTTTTTCTCTAGGTATTACTTCATCGAGTTTGCGCTGTCATTTTTAGTTGTTGGAGACCCTGGCCTTCTTCGATGGATTCTTCAGAAGCGTCCTCTTTACGCAGGTCTCCTGCATGGACTCGCAAAGGATGAAGAGGCTACTATTATTCAAGTACTCCATGTTTTCCAAGAGAAGGTGATGGCGCCAGCGTCACTGGTCCCAGCAGGACTCCAGAGTGTGCTCTTCGGAGATGTTGCTCTTGAACAGCTTGCGCGTATTGCAGGTGATGAGTTGTTTAGAGAGTCCGCTGATGTGGCTTACGAGACCCTTATGGCACTGTGCACAGATCCATCACATGGGCTCTGTCCTGAGTATGCATCACCATGGGAATCAGTGAATTTCAAGTCTGGAGCCCATGGTGGTAACCAAGGAAGACTTTTACGACTGTTGTTGCGTTTGCGTGTCACTGAGGCCTTTCGACACAGAGAGCTTTTGTTAACAACAGCGAGATTAAGACCAAGGCTTGCGGCAGCATATCTCGATGCCGTTCCTTATTCTTTAGAGCCTAGACCTTCTCCAACTTGGTAAGCTATTTGTTTACTAGTTTTTGTGATGATTTTTGAGCAATTTCTTTGTCGGTCTGTGTATATAAGACTCTCACTTTCCAACCTCGTCATTTCGAAACATGCATGAGAACATGTAAATATGATGCACTTGTAAGGGCATGCTGCGGGGATATGGCGAGGTTGTGGTAAACTTATGGATGCTTTCACGCTGTGTTGATTGGCCTTGTGTACCTTCATGAGCTAAACTTTGTGTTGCTGTCCTTTACAGGTTTACAATCATGTCTCTTGTAGCTGATCTCGTACACATTTCAAGCACGCCTCCTCCTTTATCCTCTATGGCGTTGCGGGGTCTCCCTGTTCCAGCCCCCGATGGACCTCTAGTTCGAAATAATCTGCGACATTTGCTTCCTCGGGCCTTGCCAAAAGTGGCCTTAAACAGGGGCTTGCAGCATGCTAATGTCCTGGTGAAACATGCATCTTTGCGTTTGTTACTGGAGGCTCTCTTATCACTAGAGCTTCTTGTCGACGGAGCATTTGCAGCGGCAGAGAATACGTGTTCACAATTGAAAGACAGATTTTCCGGTAATTTTTCTGTATTAGAGACAAAAACTAGAAGCATTAAGAGGGGTGATTCTTTAAGGGACTCAGAGCAGGAGTTCCAGAGGCGTCAATGGTTAGAACTCGTAGAAAGTATTCAGGATACTATGCGAGCTACTTTACCGGACCCGAACATTTTACTTATTATAAATTCAACCATAAATAGAAGAAAAAATTCACTAGATGAGCCTGATGGGAATCACAAAAGAACTCAACCAGTTAAGGAGGTTAGTGCTGGTAAAAGGAGGAAAAAAGACGAAGGCTACGTCATTGATGAACCTGATAGAACCCAATTAAGTCATTCTGATTCCAGTGTGGAGTCAGAAGGAGATGAAGAGGAGGAAGATTCAAGTGCGCTGGAGATACTAGCTCAAATTTGGGGTTCAGAAGCTATTGTTAGTGCCAATGGCTCAATTCAGTCTCTGCTACATGCTAAATTGCTCGAAGTGCTAGCTGCATACCAGGTCCGTCACAGCACTCTGGAAGTTCTTTTGGGATGTGTGATGTGTGATGTCATCATTCATGGTAATGGTACCCTTAGTTAGTTGTATTTAAACATCCAATATTGTTTTGGCTTCAGATATAATGCTCCTAAAGAGCTGTATCACTAACTTTTTATTTGCTGCCTCAGAGGGTTCTTCCCGTAGCGTTTGCAGACAAAGGATTCGACCCTTTCAAGTTGCTCTCTTCTGATCTCATGCAACTGTCTTTGGCTCAGCAAAAGGCTTTTCTGTCGCTTTTATTGGCCACAACAGCTGCTTCTCAAAGAAATTCAGCTACTAATAGTATCGTAGAGGCTGGTGGGTTTGGTTCTGTGTACAAACATTCGAAACCGTTACTCAAGATGATGATAGGCTGTAGGGTAGACCATATTAGAGATAATGCTCATCTCCTTGCTTCGCGCCTCATGGTGAGCACGGGGGCCTTCGAAAGCAACACTTGGGAAACAACCTTGTGGTTGGGTCACTTATCAAGGTTGATAGGAGAACCAGTCAACACAATATGTAAATTAGATGACAGTGAGGAAGACCACCCGAATCAGCATATTCTTGGAAGCATTGGCGAATGTGTTGTTGGGTTTCTAGCGGAAGCTGTAAGTTCTGTTGGTAGGACGCTATACAAGTATTTTGACGAGCTATTTTCTCTCCTCTCTGCACATTCTTTGGGAGAGGGTTCCACTGAACAATCCAAGGGTTTATCAGGTACTTCACGACTCCGATTGACGCCTATATTCCAGATTATCCAACCATCATCTTGGTCATTAAAACGCAAATCGGTGTCATACACTAGATGGTTTTGTTTAGATGTCTGCTTTATTTTTTGTTTTTCTGAATGTTATTCTTTTGCATCCAGCTTACCAAAGTCTTTAATGTAGGCTCGATGGTTCCAGAGTTTGGTCCTTTTGTTGTGTGCGCACTGGAGCATACTCTTCGGGTGGTTCGCTCTGATTCTAAGAGCATGTCACTGCCTCAGCGATCTGCCATCGCATTGTATGTTGCTGGTGTTCTAAGTGATCTGCTACGAATTCAGGTATTTTTATTCGTTTTACTCAGACTGCATTCTACGGTTAAAAATCAGACTCACTCAGTCTGGATATGTGAAGACAGCGTAATAAGTGGCTCTGTTATTATTATTATTATTATTATTATTATTATTATCATCATTATTATATTGTCGTAGGTGGCGCATTGTTGGTTGTGGCTATTTTTATTGATTACGCTGTTGAAATGTGTTCTTACAGACTGATGCGCGAGCTTTGGGAATTGTAATCACGTCTATTTTGTCTCCTGAGTTTAATCCAACTACTAGGAACACTGACAAAAACTTGTCTACCCTTGGAAGTGAATGGAACCCACTTCAGGTGGTTTATCTGCAAGCTCGCTCGTTTCTTGACGGTGAAGTCAATTGGGCAACTCCAGCAATGCAGGCGCCTGGCTTGAAAATTAGCGAACCTTCTGGGCATCTATGTGATGTCATCACAACTTGCAAAGAGTCTACAAAAGATGACGTTGTGATGTTAAAAGAGAATTTGGTATCCGCTTTGGTTTGTGCACCACTGCATAACGTCAGCAACAGCTTCTTCAAGCTCGTTGAAATAATTCCAAAGACATGTGGTCAGAGGATACCAATCTTGATGACATTGTGCGGCCTGCACTGTAGTCTGTTGACGGAAGCGGACCTTGAATTCGAAAATACAGAGAAGGATCGGACCATTAAAAGACAATTACTTGTGACTGAGCTATTGAGTATATTTTCATCGAGCTCATTCAAGATGGGCGGGTTAGCTTTGTCCGACTCATCATCGTCCATCGGAGAGCTAGCTAATCATATCTTCTACTTTCTGAAGTCACTCCCGTTTTCTGTTCTCTTTTCAGCGCTATTGTATCGGGTCAATGGGAAGCTGTTGAACTTTGAGGTTTTATCCACAACTCTTGATAGCTCGTACTCTTCAATCCTCGCGCACGATCAGCTGATCATTATGAAAACGTTACTCAGCTCCATTCATCAACTTTCATTCGCATCACTTGAAAGTTTGGACAAGAAACAACGCCTTGACATTTGTTTCACATATCTGAAAAGGCTCGTTACTATTCCCAAAACCTCGAACCATGGAGAAGAGTCTAATACTATTTCTGAAGAGATATTGCTTTGCAAGGACATGATTATTATGTCATTGACACATCCTGCAATTGCAGGGTTTTGTCAGTGTTCCACAGAAACAGAGGTGAGCTCGATGAAGCATCAGAAAAGCTCCCGATTACTTGATGCGTGCATTATGGATTATCTGAAGTTTCTTCTGGAGTCATGTTCAGCTATTGAGCTCCGTGGAAAGTCTGAATCTCTTGCTGAGATGTTGGACAGTCTTCAAGGAGCCACTATTCAGGCTTGCAAACCCTTTGTTCAGAAGACGATGAAGCTTTTCTCGCTCAAATTGATAGGAAGGGTGTCTGATGAAGATGAAACCACCTTTTCCAAGGACTACTATCTTACTCAATCTTTTGTTCTACAATTAGCAGGCTACGCAGATTCTCAATACTTTCTCTCCTTCCTCTCTGACTTAGTTTCATGCAAGACCGTACGAACACCTTCAGGAGTGTCTTCATCCTCAGTTTTCCTCGAGCTTGCTCGGGCTTTTTACGAGAAGCGTTTACAGAATGGGCTAAATAATAAGTTCAAGTCTGAGCACTGCGGGGCAGTTCTTCAAGAAAGTTTAGATGTGTTCAGGTTTGTGGGAACTGAAGTACTAAAAGATGTTGCTGAAGACGCAGATCGTTGCCTGCTATCAGCTCTGCAGAGCTTTAGTCCAGATGCAGAAGGTGGCTGTTCTTCATCATCCAGCCATTTATCACTACTTGTGAGCACTGCTCCAATCGAAGTCATTAACTGTTGTATCCAACGTCCGACTATTCTACGTGGCAACATTGTCAAAATTCTGGTGCAGACAAGCACAGTTCATAGAAACGAGTTCGGGAGATTGTTGTGCCAGGGAACTGGGGAAGACGAGATCGAGAACGATGAAGCTTCGAAGTTCGCCAGTAAATTTTTGACAGAGAAAAAATTTCAGACAGAAAAAACTTCTTTCCGTCTTTCAGACAATGACCTGTTTCTTCTATTGCCTGCCGCTAAAGTTTTTTTATGTAAGTGTCAATCGAGTTTAATGACGAGGCTGGTGGTCCATGTTGCGTCTACATACTTGAGATTATTAACAACACATATCAAAAGATGGGACGAGTTCGTTTTAAAACTTTTAAGTTTCACTGAACTGGGATCTAGCGTATCAAAGCTGGTGAACAAGGATCATAGCGTGGAAGAGTTAGCTGGATCATACTTCAAAGATATTGTGACATTGATGAGGAGATGCCTTGCTATATGCCCTCTTAGCAGCAAAAAGCGTGTCTATCTTCTGCGCAAGCTTCTTCCCAAAGCTGGGCTGCCTTTGGCCGATCTGCAGATAGATTCCTTAATTGGTTCAGAAATAGACTTGAGCACAGTGTTCTTTCAAGTATATGGAAAGGCTGCCGCCGCAAGACATATCTTATCAGACATTGAAGCTCATTTACCAGAAGCCTACACTGCCAGTTCGGTTCCAAAGCAGCAAAAGTTGAGGAGTCTGATGGCGGACTCGGTGATGAGGTTTGCTACCGGCCTTGCCTCTACTTTAACTGTTATTTTTAAAGTGGCTGCTCAGATGAAGAATCAATCAACGTCTTCGTACACTCCCAGAACACCCAAAGTGATCAAGGCTTTGGAGGAGTTCTTACAATTGCAGTTAGTTGGAGTGGTGAAATCAATTGATACAACTGGATTTGAGGCAGACATTATGTCTTTATTTGAAAGCTATGCAAAAACCTGTCTTAGATATAAGTTTGGGAATGTAGAAGGAATGAAAGTTCTCCAAGCTTTAGCTGGGTGTCTCTTGAATTTACCTGATGATTATACAGCAAAAAGAAGGGAGATCGTTTCTTCTGTGCTAGAGTTGGTGTTATCGCATTCGCAGTTTGTGCTGTATATTGTCTCCTGTAGTACAGCTTCAAGACCTCTTCCTAAAAATCTTGGTCGCCAAGCTGGTAAGGGAACAGCATTGAGCTCCCTCCCTTCTATACTTTCTCTAATTGGGTCTCCCATGGTTGTCTCTGGGAAACAAACCCTCGGAGTAGCATCTGATATGCAGGTTTCAAGCATGTCAGAGGCTGAAGGTGCCGACATAGATGTCGGAATTGATGCACCTGCTGAAGTTCCAGAGGAGTGCCAATTAGCGTTGCTTCAGCTAGTTCGATCTCTATTTCAGGTGAAGATGCACCCAGGTGATGAGATTCTGTCCTCAGAAGATAGAGCGACAGTAGAAGAACTGCTTTCTCTTCTTCTTGCAGCCTATGGTGCTACTACTGGGAGGCTCGACACTGAAATTTACGCACTGATGAAGCAACTAGAATCTTATGGTGGACCAGGTATGGTCGGCATTTTTGCTAACAGAGTGTCTCAGATGTCTTCATTTATACTGCGGGGACTAAATTCAAACCCAAAAATTTAATGCGCTGCATGTATTTATAGTTGTGGATTGCCCAGTTCTACTTCAATTGAACTTTATAGTTTTAAATTATGGTTAAAATACATATTAATTGAGAAACTTAGCAATATACTCAGACTGATTCACTACACTTATTTTTTCTATTTCTGTGAAGCCTTTCGATTATAATCTTGCTGCTGTAGAAGTTGTCAGCCTGCGTTTTCAATCCACAAAAGTGGCTTTTCGTCACTAAAACTTATGTACTTATTTATTATTCGTTGGCCCCAGGTTTTTCTGGGCTCGCAAGCATGGATTACTTGTGGGGCGAGGCTGCTTTGCAAAGAAGGAAAGCAAAAGTTGAAGAGAAATCTCAATTGATGGATGAAGGCTTGGAGATAGATGAGAACGTATTAGAATCTCGAAAGAGAACTTACAAGGAGGATTTAACATTAGATCCAAGAAGATGTGGTTTGTCAGTTCTATGCTTCCCAACATTAGCCCATCATTCAATAACCTTAGGAAATCGAGAAGTTGGGGCTAAATCGAAGAAGGTGAGAGCGTCCTTGGGCACTACTTGAGATAACGCCAAGTGCAGTTGTTATTGACATTCATTTATAGATGTTATAGTTTCTAAATAACAGTTACTGCACGCACTTAAAGTAGCTAGTAAGCTACATGATCTATATAACAGACGCAGAATTCATGCTTTACTTTCTGTTGCGAAATATGTTACAATAGTGTTTTGATTTGTGAAGGTATCATATATCAAACCCTTATACAGCATTGGTGCTCAACCATTGGGGATACTGTATTGTGCAGGTTTTCCTTAGTGACACATACGATGCTGATTTGGAGCTCCAGTTGAAGGGAACTGCTTACGACCCTCGCTATATTCTACAATTTGGACTTCATGGAATTGCAGTGAAGTGCATTGATGCTGAGGAATTTGTATGTCTGGGTCTGCTTGCTGTGGCTATAGCATCTCTCAGCTCTTCTGACGAAGACATGAGGAGATTAGGCTACAAGCTTCTTGCAAAATACATGTCTATTTTGGAGGTACATAATATATTCTTGTGCTGAAAACGCTCTTTCGACACGTATATAGACAGGAGCCACTTTGATCGGGTCAGAGCTGTCTGGAGAGTGTCTTCGTTTAGAACTTCCAACTTTTTAGTTAAATTCCTTTCCCATTTTGTTGGTGGTGTACACATACTTCCAACCGTGCTTGTCTAGTTTTTTTTATTTTGATAATATTATGTGTTTGAATACAGGAGGGTTCGACTTTCAAAGGACAGCCACAAATTCGAATGTTGCTGAATTATGTGAAGAATGCAGTTACTGAAGAGTGGCAGCAATTGCCATTTGTTCTCATGTTATTTGCTGCAGAGTGCTCATGCATCCTCATGCATCCAGAGAACCCTCATTTTATGGTTATCACACGCTATCTATTGAAGGGTCCAGCTTTGGATCTTGAGGTGCGCACCTCTTAATCCTTTCACCACGGTCAGCAATGGCTCAGTATAGAAACATCTTAAGACCGTCAAACTTTTATCCCGCCTTCTTCATGCAATATCCAAGATTGAATTTTTCTCTTTCTTTGATGTTCAGTATGTTCCATTATTTCATTCGATGTTCGGAAGCGGGTCACCTCGTCATCGGAGTGAGCGTTTATGGATGCTGCGCCTCTTGGCGTGCGGATTGTCAACATCCCGAGATGCACGAGTCTTCCGCCGTCAGTTCGTATTGGAGATTCTTATGAGTTTTTACAATTCCCCTTTGGCTGATTCCTTCGCAAGAAAGTGGGTTTTACAGGTACTAAATTTCTAAAGCTTATGTGGATTTCTCATATCATATAGATATTTTACTTGATTGTTTTCAGCTGACACAGGCGGGTGAGTAGAACCATCTGATGCTTTTTGTAACCAAAGTGTAGTTGGTGTGCCTTTCAAGAAAAAAACTTTGCCTGGTATGCATTCATTTGGTATGATGCGTTGGATTTGCAGGTTCTCTTAAAATCAACAAGGGTACGAGGATGCGTGCAAGCCCTTGTTGAACGTTCAGGTTTCCTTCCATGGCTAGCTTCAGCTGTCGTGAATTACAGGGATATAAGCATTTCAGAGCAGGACGGAAAAGAGGCTGATGACCTCCCGATTATGATTCTAGAGGTCCAATCTTTTTCCTGTCCTCCATCCATTTTATTAGATTTCAGCACCTAGATTTTCATGATGAGGAATTACTTGTATTGTTTGACTTGAGGTTGCCGCTTTACCCTGTACTCGTTCGTGTTAAATTACCATTGCATTAATTCCATCTTCTTAAATTATGTAGTGTATGGCTTTTGTATTAACAAACCGGTTTTTTTCCTTTATTTTTTTCTTCTAGCCATTTATGCCGTGAAATGGGTTGTGCATGGCGCAGCAGATCATGGAGAGATTGTTAAGATGGAAATTTTTTGAGCAACGTTGTCTTGGAGAGGGTATGGCGGAGCTAACTACAGCTGCCCTCACATTACGATATTTTCTAACGCATGGTACAAGGACTCCCAAACAACGGGCAATCTTTAGGAGGCCTGCGATACGTATCATGACCTATGCTCTTCGCTCATCGCAGCGGAGGAAAAAACATGAAACTCATTTCAACCTATCTTTACGTGATATATTAGAGGCAATACGCTGGGTGGAATCTGAAGGTCCAGACAGTGGATATGGCATCGAGACTACTGCAGAAACACGGGCACTTGTCCTGCATATGCTACTGCAAAGTTCGCCTCCTGCAGTCTCAACGCCTGAGGTGAGAGCAGTTTGTCTTACCGCAAGCTCATTTGTTCGAAAGTTTTGGAGCTTAATCCCATTAGAACGCCTCTATATTTGGTTTTTAAAAATTATTTAAAAACACATCTGTTGTTCTGGAAAAGGAAGCGGCATATTCGTGATTGAATATTTTTCATTTTATGATGTGTTTACTGCAACCACTTACAATCATGGAGTCCTCAAGACCCAGCCATTTTAATATGCTTAATATTTAATCTTATTACTTATCTGCAATTTTTGGTCTTGAGTTCAAGTTTTTGAGTATCTTGCCATTGCAGGACAAAGAACTTTTATGTGAGGTTTCTAGCTGGGCTGTGCCTGTTGCAAGTCGGACTCTTGTAAATGCGGCATATAAACAATCTACTGGTTCTGGACATGCTGATTTTAAGAAGCTTCCAGAAGGCTTACCAGAAAAGCTTGCACGCTGGGTCACTGCATCTCTTGTGATTGGAAAATTAGCTCTAGTCAGATCCCAGCAGGGATCGGCCACAGGTCTTGCGGATGCGTGTTCTAGTTGCCTAAATGTACTCTCTGGTCGTCAGTCTTTACAATCTATGGACTTTCACCCTACCAACAGAATGCTGGCTGTCCAATTACTGGAGTTGCAAACATGTTTCAGTGGAGAAGTTGATGATCTACTAGTGCCCGCTTTAGCTTCCTTGTGGCCCGTCTATAACCCTGAAGAAATTCTACCAGGTTCGTTCATATATCGTCTCCTTTTCAAGTGCTAATTAGTTATCTAGTTGCTTGACTCCATCAATTTAGCGCTTAACTCTTGATGCAGGTTGTCTTGGAGAAAGTTTGCTCGTCCAATTGCATGATACCTTACGCAGTAACACATTGTGACTGTTATACTGGCATGCGCAGGAGACGAGTCAGTAAAAATCGCTACATTACTCATAGAAAGGATTCTGAGCAACATCGCTGTACCTCAAGAAGCCTATCCCTTATGGCGCTGGTAAGTGAATCTCTCATTGACCGTGACAAGGAGACTTGAGTTTTCCCAATAATGATGGAACCAATTTGTTTGGCTTTCAATATACTGTTTCATGGCTATCCTCAACGCATGTTCTTATATCTTAAACGAATTGAGTAGTCATGGGATAAATGGATGGGGCCCAGTCTGAGACACTTACTTAGGACCTTAGTTCAAGAGTTCCGGACAAAAGCACTCATTACTAGGCATTACATTTCTATTGTCTCAGTCAACGCAGTTTACTCTAGTGAGAGGTCTGATTTGTTGTGCAGACACAATGTACTCACTACACTATTTCTCTGCAGGTCTTTCAATAATTCTTGGCGTAGTAAGGAAACAGCAGCCGGCGGGAACATGCCCACTGGGATTTCAAGTTTTGAGGCCGAGCTATGTCAGATAGCCCTCGTTGTTTTCCAGCAACTTGTGATGGCACAGGCAAACTCTGGGCTTGCCCAGCTTGTATCTCAATGGGTGAAAGGATTAGATATTTCCGAACACGATTTTACTTGTAGCAAAAAGGCCTGTTCCAAATTCGTTGAAAAGTTGGATCAGAGTATAGAGAAACTACGTAGAACACATAACCAGCTTGTTACAACTTCCTAACCAGCTTGGAATTATGTACATTTTTCGGCCAGATTCGATCCCTACTATGTTAAAGAGAATTCATTTGTAGTCTCTCGAATGTTAGGTTGATGACACCGTTAATCTAGGTGATCTTGATAAAGCATTTTAGTTTGCGGCCTCAAGAAAATTAAAAATCTTCAACATTAGTTGGAAAAAAAATGAAAAATACATGCAAATGCAACCCTACAAATTTTGTGGAGTGTCACTGATAATATTTATTACACAAGTGACAAAACAATTCTAACAAGGTAAGAAAATGGGGTATGTTATTTACAATAAGATTTGAAAAGCACCACTGAAGGCAGTAAATGGAATTATTCTTGCAGAAAGATCTTTTCTTTTTCTGCATTGTGCGGTTTAGAGACTTTCAATGTTTTAGGGTTATTCTAAATCAAGGAACAATACACGAAGATAGTTTTACTAAGACAGTGTAAATTAGGAAGATTAAAAAAAAAAGAAAAAAAGAAAAAAAATTCATCTTTTGAAACTCCTAACATTTCTGATGCATAATTTCGATGATCGAGATATGTTTTCCTCCTTTCTTTAGCCGTGTTTCAACACTAAAAAAATTAAATTTTGTTTGTTGTTAGGAATAAGTATATTCATACAAATTTCCAAACATTGTAATGTAATAAAAACACTGCAAATGATGCATCACTCAGGATGTTCATAGTGTTGGATTTACCATTTCAATTACCAAAAAGCCTATTCCCAGTTTGAGTCATATTTAAAATACTCATATTTTCTCCGAAGCATTCCTCAGTTGTATTAAAATTCTACACTTCAATGACAAAATATATATATATATATATATATATGCACCCACATCATTATAATAAAATTACAATAAGAGAGAGGTTGCGTGACGACCTCATGTCACAATGACTAAATCTGAGCAGCCTCTCGGGCAGCAACAGGCAAGCTTTCCAGCCATGCATTGAAAAGTTTTAGAAGGCTGCCCGAGGTGGCTGGCTGCCCCTGGAGAGTGAGGTGAGGAGAATCCCAATAAACATGCCCTCTTTCCTGTAATAAAACAATTTGTACCTGCACCCCATGACACGTCAGACAGGTTCAGGTTCCACGTGGACAGGGGAAAATGCTCACCCATCCAGCTCACCCGTCCAGCTCACCGAATCAGTAACCAATAAACCAGGACGATGGGGGTAAAAGTGATAAAATGATAAAATGAATAAGCAGATGCTTCTTTTCACACTTATTTATATTGACGCACATTCACTTCATATCTCTTATATAAAACAGCTCACTGGATAAACCAGAGGAGACAAAAACTATCTTTGATTGACTGCATATCTTATTGTGTTCATAAAAAAGGAAGTAACAGTGATGCAATAACTCAACTTTTTGATTAATCAAATATCAAAATCTGCATTATGCTGTTACAGATTGTCAAGAGTAGCATTGCAAGATCACTGGATGTGGAGCTTAGTAGCTCCCAATGAAGAAATAACCAGCAAATATTTTTGGTTGGCCACCTTTTTGGTTTCCACTAATATAATATATGTATATATATGTTGGGGGGTGTTTTTCTTTGGCCAAATTATGGTGAATGAATGAATTCCTATGATCTCAATTAATAATAAGGGGGAGATTCTTCCGAAAATGGATCTCTGTCTATTATCAACAATTTTTGTACAACTGCTGCATCAACACACGGTTAGTGACCGTTCATAGAATTGGGTTCCACCTCAGAAAAGTCTCGCAGTTTTCATATGTATATATATATATATATATATATGCGTGTGTGCTCGGGTGTGTTTGTATGTTGCAGGATATTTTTCTGCCTACACGAGACCCACACACGTAGAATCCAGGTGAAGGACACCCAAGGGCGAAGCGCTCTACTTCACTGGTTCAAGTGGTTTAGGGTTTTTCTTCAGTTTTTGGTTTTACAGAACCGTAATTATTCTTCACTCATTCATTGTGGCTTCCGAGGTTCCATTACGAGACAAAAACTGTCACACAACGACAAACGAGATGACCTCGTTCATCAATGCAGATCACAGCGAAACACATCGCATGAGCTCGACACTCAGCTTTCCCACCTTCACACGATGAGAACTCCACAGATTTAGGGCTCATCGCATGGTCCAACCAGCTCAAAACTTCTCCACACCCCATGCAACCCATCCACCATGAAGGTCCCTCATCCAGCCATCAGAGAATCAAGGATTTAAGCAATAATTTGGAGGACCGAAGTGGTGTCTTTCGTAGCAAAGTTTAGAAGTGGGTAGTCCACTCCAGGTGATCTACTCCACTGTGATCAGTAGAGGTGTCGTTTATTCAGAGAGAAAGAGGACTGAGAGAAACGGCGAGGGAGATTACCGTTAGGATCTGTACATGCTCTAGTAAAACTCATTTTGGGAATATCGTGGGAAGCGTGCTGCAATAAGGACTGCACAGATGTGCTTAGATTTTTTCAAGGATGAGATGGAGATTCTCATGTATTAAGGTTTCAATAACATGAATCAACCTCTATCTTTTTAAGAGACCAACGAATGCCATATCCCAACAAAGATCGACAACCAGGACCTTAAGAAAAACTTGCGAGATAAATTGTCCGGACTTGAAGTTTTTGTGAGGATGCCGCGCACAGTGTGTCAGAAAAGTGAACCCGTTGAATGTTATATGCAACATATATACAGTAACCTGTACCATACGATTCCAGCCTCTCTATGGTTCTCGGTACCTTAAGCCAGAACTAATCCTCATTTCGAGGATCCTTTAACCAGAGGGAGAGCACGGACCAGATTGGGTCTAAACCTACATTGCTCAACCAATGCCGCCCCTTATGGATTCTGAATAACATGATCCATCATGTGGTGATTAATTTCTACGAGTAACCCTCTAGCGCGATTACAAATCTGAAGCTTGTAACCTGTAATTTGATGGTCGGTGGAGCAAGGCTGACAAAAGTCCCGTCTTTGCACTCTAGCTACCCGTCCCAAAGGGGAATTGGAATCAAACTTCACTGACACTCATGGCTTCAGGTGAGCACTGAGCATGTCAATCACACACAGAAGATGTGTGCTTTATATCCCAGATGCCGTGGTGGTTTTTTTAAGTACGAGAGCTAGCCCACACTGGAAGCCTTCTCGATCCCAACAGCGCAAGTAAATGTAGTTCTGTCATCGCCAATCTTCTTGCAGACACTCCAGCGCAGGCTGCAACTTTGCCAGAATTCGGAACGGTAATTTGGGCTTCGTCTAAAACCGCAGCCAACCGGAGACACGCTGCCAGTGCGACGCGCCTGCCTGAGTTGGAGAAGAGAGTTGGAGTCAAAGCGCGGGACACCTTACAGAACATGCGCAACGCGAGGGGAACAGTCCCAGGGCTGCTAAGGTGCAAATCCCAATGCCATTTTGCCAACGTTCTCATTGACCTAGAGATAGAGAGAACTGCTGATTCCTGCGCGGGGGCGAAAGATGACATCGTCTGTACTCTATCATCCATCCGCTGGCGCTTTGCTGAGGAAAGTAAATGATTAGTGACAACTCTGTTGGTGTTGCCAAACTCTGGAAATTGAGTTCTATTGTCACCTCTTTCTTCAAAACTGGAATCCTGATTGGCGCGGGAGTTGCTTCCAGTACTTGAAGATGAAGAAGTGGTGCTGTCGCATTTACACTGAAAAAACAGAAAAACTTTCAGAAAAAATAGCTCTCTTCACAAGCGGAACTCATTTACAGAACGCTTGACTACAAAAATTTGCATTACGGACCCTTACATTGCTTTCAATCACGACTTAACAAGTTGATTGTGAATTGAACCGGATATCGAGAGAGTGGCATGTAACATGAAAACGCCTGATCGTAATAAACTCTTCGAACAAGCAGTAGATGGATCCAAGAGAGACCAATTAGTACACTTGTATCCACCCTGTCTGGGTGTAGTGAGGCCATGGTGGGAGAGTAAGAGATGAAGTAGAAGTTACCTGTCTGTGAGCATCGCTGCTGTTGACATCTTCCAACACCCTCATCGCAATCTGCTTGCTTTGTGGAACAGACACAGGTAAGAGGGAGTGCAATGACCTCTTCCTCTTCAGCGACTTCGAGATACCTGAGGACACACTCGCATGAGCGCTCCCACAGTCTACAATAACGCCTTCTGAATCATAGCTGCTGAGCTGGGAATGACTACTTTCACAAGATGAAACTTGCGAAAATTCCGTTTCGAATATAACCGCACTCTCGCAGCTCTCGGCCGTGACTCTCGCGGTGTCAATCACATTTCCATCGTTGAGAGTGATGCATTCACCCTGTGCCTCACCCTGAGAACATTCTGCACAAACGCCAGGAAGAGGCGTAGGGTTGGCTCCTGAAGCTCTCCACGAAGTTTGTGTCCCACAGGTTCCACACAGAACAGACCGAGTATGTCTGGCCACCAGGAAGTTGGCGCTGTGAACTTTGGCATCGCAAATCCAACAAATGTGAGCCTCATCTGCTTCGCAATACAAAGCCGCTACGCCGTCACACAACTCGCACGCTGTGTTTGTTCTCGCCATCTCTCAGCAAATTTTCACTCACATGATCGATCAGTGCCACTCACTACTGCAGTCGAAACGAAAAACCGTCGCTGTCCCCACCAGGAAAAAAGCGCAGGTCCTTGCTAATGCGCCGAAATCGTGGTCTAGCAACCAAAACTCTTCCTAAACCACTTTCCAACCCCTTTATCTTGTCAATTCAGGGCCTGAAAGGCAAAGCAGCCACCAACCAAAACCTCTCACGGCCCTGCGATATACTCACATAGGTCGTCTAGATTCCCACCAACTCCTTCTTAACCATATCGATGATTGACCTGACACTAAGAGAATTTAAATCTGCAGCAACGAAAAACTCCGCGAATATGAAGAAAAATTTAAACCGTCTACAATGTACCTTGAGAAGAATTCCGTCTACTGAAATGCTCAGCCCTTCATCCGCTGCCTAAACCACGAAACAGTTCCAACTCCTTTGTGACAATAAACACAAGTAGCACCTCTCAAATCTCAATCCGGAAGATAACGACTCGTTAAACCACCTAAACGTTCTGTGATCCAAACCCTGCGAAAGGTTTCCAGATTGTATGATAAATTTTTTTTAAAAAAATGAAGAAGGGAGAGAGCAGGTGGACAAGAAAGGCATGGAGAGAAAGATTGACGCAGACACTACACCCAAGCCCTCAGAAACCTACTCGAAAAGTTTCCAGAGCGGACATATGAACTCTCCACAGATCGATCTACAAAAACCCTTCCCGGCTCGAGGTTTCAAAAAGGGACTCGACACAAAAACCCCGAGAAAGCGTGATCACGACGAACTTATAGGTGGAGCGCCAGTCAATATACTCGGCACAACAAGGTGTGGTCCAGACGAGTGTATCCGTGTCTGGGAGAGAGAGTCCTGCTAAGCATAACGTAATGAAGAAAGGAGAGAACGACGGACCACGGACGACGATCGTGGAGACTTATGACGGACGTTCAGCCGTAATGGACGGATCTCGGACGAAGGCGGTTGACGCGGAACACCACATGCGCGACCGAGGACGGATTCAGGCCACGAGCGTGGGTCGAAAATATCTGCAGGCTCGGAACTCACCCGCGGGCCCGGCCGAGTCTTGCGGATCCAGTTCGGCCCAGGAGTATCGCCCAATCGGGTGGCGGAATTGGATTTCAACTTCGAGTTCCCAGGCGAGCTGTCACGGATCAACCCGCGACGCTTTGTTTTCGTTCGTTCGTCGATTTTCGCCGTGGTAGCTGCTGGTAAAAACGCTAGGACAACGTTCGTTACAAAATAAACAGCCGTGCAGTCCCACTGGGAATATTCTTTTCTTCACAATAAAGCTCCAGTCAATTTTTTTTCGAATGATTAGAGGCCCGGGAAATGGGATCCCAAGCACAAGAATAAACTTGTTTTTAGGAAAGTATCAAAAGGGTATTAAGCATAAGAGAGGTTAGAGGAGATTACAAATCAGCCACAGCATATCCGAAGCGGTGAGGGATCAGCACGTGGCGGGAGGCGGATGGCACGGAGGTTTGGGAACCGAACCTGGACTAACACTCATCCCCTTCCACATGCTTGTGTAAAGGGGGGATCCACCATTGAATACAAAACCAGGCAGTAGTTATGGAGACTAGCCTCCGCCGGTGGATGGGGACGACGACGAGCCTGGGTACTTTCCGTGGTCGCTAGGAGGGCAGCGATGGGAGATTCACAGACGATGCTTGCGTGAGCTGAAGAAAAATCATGTGGCTCTGGTGTGGTGTGGTGTGAGGAACTGGCTGAGCTCCACGGCTGGGGCAGTAGCTGTTGCTTTTGCGGGGGTTGGGGGGAGGTCCCCACTTGGTCGAGTCAGCAGCGGGGGAGCAGCGTAGAATCAAGCTGTGGTCAGTATCCGAGCCTCCAGAGCAATGAGAGGCCAGCATGAGATTTGGCAAATTCCAAGGGTCACCAATCTGCCACCCAACTTAGTATGACTGACAACCGCAGGACAAACGGCATTCTTCTGCAGAGCGTGGTTACCGTGCTTTATGAGGGGGAGATATTTAATGCCATTATCGGGGTAGAACCCCTTCAACTGGCTGATAGACGGGTTCTTCCTGGTCTGCATGCAGTAATTCTTCGTTCGCGACAGTTTTTTTTGTTTTGTTTTTGTTTTTGTTTGTTTGTTTGTTTTTTTTGTTTTGTTTTTTTTTTTTTTTGTCTTTTTGGGCTCGAATTCCAATCTAATCCACTTTCCGAAATTTGATATTCACTGTCCATGTATGTGTATGTGTGTGTTTTATTTATTTCTTTTTTCTGTGGATAAAGCTCTCCGGATCAGACTCTAGCATGAATTTTGGCAGCCACACCTACTAATGTGACTTAAGAAGTGACGTTGGATTCGTATTTAGCATCACTGAACTTAAACCATGAAAAAATTGTCGAATTTGAAATCGAGATGGAGTTCATAAATTTTTGAATACACACATATAGATAGTAATATATATATATATATATATATTGATGTCGATAAGGTGATAGTTAAACCTTTCATACTTAATGTGAGGAATCCTGATGAATAGGCAGACAGAATCAGATCATGGGTGCAAACTACATGAATCCCAAGATTGTCAAGCAGCAGAGTACTGGAAAATAATAACAAAATTCGTGATGAATTTCAAACATCCACATGGGAAACGGAGGCGGTGGATTTTATATGTCATGATTGAGAGCCAATTAGAAACCCAGAACAGATTGTGGCTTGATCTGCTATCGAATTTCCTTTTTACCGTCAAAGGACTCTACTGCAGGAGAGGTTGTGGCCGAAATTCGTCGACCCCACGTGAATAGATGCTTTGGCAGCATGGGTAGGGCCATTGGCTGACACAACTAATCTTACCCACATACCGCAACCCCACCCGCAGACTTCTAATCCTAGCATCCTGCAATTTTGTCCCCACATTCATGTAGTAGTCTTTTGTCCACTTGCTGTCCTCCACCCTGCTCTACCCCATGTTGCACACCAAGGCCTCCCTGTTGAACATCCTTTTTTCCACGCTCTTCATGCCATGAATCCATCCCTCTTCTCGTCATCGTCTCATGATTCCTAGTCGTGGGGGCTCCAGTGCCTGATGGATTTGACAGGAATCCCCTGACCACGCACTGGCTGAAGCTCGTCGAGCAAAATTCTGATGCCGATCATTGTGCACATTCGGCGATCTGCATGCTGCAAAACTAATTTAAGACCCAGAAAAACCAAAGCTGCAACCCAAATTTTCATAACAATCTCATAATATTCTCAGGGTGTGCTTCCAAACTGCCGACTGTTTAGGTAACTCGAAACAGGCTTAGGGAGCTCCGAGTTTTCACCGTGAAGCACACAATGCACGAAGGTCAGAGTAGAAGAGGAAGAAGAAGCAGAATTAGGGTTTGCTTCGATGAGAGATCGCGTTAGAACTATCGGTGGAAAATTACAACCCAATTCAAGTATTGTCTCACACTTCTGAAATCAGATTTTAGGGTTTTGTAATGACGTCTTCCGTTGTTGAATGACTTTGGCTTCTAGCACATGAAGACACCAATGTTAGTATGAAAACAAAAAAAGAGAATGCAATCATAGAGACGTATGAAATCAAATAAATCATTGGTGAAAAGTTGGTGAGAAGTTCTATCACTTTTTGCATGAAGTTCTACAAGTTTATTTTTGGAAATAGAATCTTGCGAGATCAAGATGGATTCCTAAATAATATGGAAATAAATAGAATCTTATCAAAACTTGCTTTTGTTGTTTGTTTTGTATAGGGAACTTCTTCTAAAATAGTTTCATCTAATTGTTTGTTCACCTATAATTTGAGATTGAAGGTAAGATTATATTAAAAGTGAATATTAATATAATATACCTTTTTTAGAGTTGAATGCAAAGTATATCAAAATAATTTTGTTATATTCTTTATATCATAGTATATTTATTGGAATGTTTAATATTTAAGCTTGGGATCCAAACTTTGATTCTAAGACTTCTAAAATAACATTTAATAGAATCTAAGTAATCAATATAATAATTTATAAATATAAATATAAATATCATTACTTATAATGACCTTTTAATAATTATTTTCTTATTTAATTTTTTAAAATAAAAAGCTTTGTATATTTTTAGAAATTTAAAGAAATAACACACAACAAAGTTAAATGGTTTACTTGTCAAAATACCAATAAAGAAGTTATATACAAGATAACATTTAATAAAACAAAGATATGATTGATAAAATACAAACTCTGTTAGGCTTTAAAATCACATCATTGATATTAAAGACTTTATTCTTGTCTGTTGTAGACAAAAACAATATAAAAAATGTTAATTGTGCTTAAAAAGATAAAATAATATGAGACAACATTACACAATCAAGTTGCAAGTTTATGCCTCCAATGCCTTGATTCAAATAAACATATTCAACTCTAAAATATTTTATTATTATTAGGAATAATCATATAATATTCTCAAAAAACTAAAAAATTTCTAAAATTCAAAAATTATTTAACTTCTAATACTTTAAGAAACATGTTGTTTCACTTGCTATGGTACTAATTAAGATATCATAAACTCAGAAATATGAAGATATATTTGAAAATAAATCACTATTGATGGTCTTATATCAACCACAATTCATAAGTTTTTAAGAAATATATGGTAATATAAATTTTTTTAAAACAAGACATAAATTGAATTTGAAAAAAAAAAACCAAAAAATCTAAAAATAAAAAATTATAAAAAAATTCTAAAATTATGGCTTTTGTCTTTGCTTCAATGAAAAAAACAAACTGTGTATCAAGAAGAATTTTTGGCATTAAATGACAATCAACATAATAACAAGTAACTCATTTAATCAGCCTAATAAGCAAAGAGTAAGTCTTATATGCTAAAGAAGAAGTACAAGCAAATAGTGGATCAATAAAGGACTTAGTAAAAGAAAGAAAAAGAAAAAGAATGTGAACACACACATCTAAGCTAAAATAAATTCACAAATGTTCACAAATGTTTATAAATGTAGTAAATGTAAATTCTTTGATGGATAATTGAATCAAATTTAATAAAACATATTACGAACTTCTGTAGATTTGGCCAATAATTATGTTTCTTACAAAAAGTAATAGAAAAATTAAATACGATCAGAATTTTAAAAAATTTAACAAGAAACCTATCTTGTACTTTTAGAAAATATTAGAATATATAAAAAAAAATCTTCAAATAATATGAGGCTTTTAAGAAGGAAAATATATATATATATATATATATATATATATATATAATTAAATAAGTTCAAACAAGTAAGTTTAAACAAATAAGTTCAACATTTAATAATTTAACAATCATTGAATTATAAGAGTAAAAGTATAATTTTTTAAAAAAAGATTTTAAAATTTTTTTCAATTGTAAAGTTATAATTAAAAATATAATATTTTAGATAAGATACATTAGACTAAAGACAACCACAATTTAATAAATAATATAAAAAAATTATAAAATTTGAATAAAAATATATAGAAAAAAAATGAATTTAAATAAATTCCAACTTCTAATTGAATTAAAAGAATGTTGAATTTTAATCTAAAGCATAAAATAATAAATTGAATAACTAATATGATACAAAAAAATAATATTAAATGTCAAAAAAAATATAAATCAATTCAAAGATATGTATATATCATACAATATATATGCCACAAAAAAAAGAATGAATATTGCATATATTTTGAAAGTATTTATAAGTATATTACATATACAATTGGCATGTGTCAATTATTCAAAAATTATCTAGGATATAAATTTCAAAAAAAGAAAATCTCAATATACTCTTATATTACTTAAAAAGATTAAAAAATCATTCAAATATGGTAATATATTGAACTATAATAGCTATTATCAAAGATAAGAAGATTAAAAA